TCAATGTCAAGGTTGAATAAAAACTATTTTTATTATGTACAGTATAGCAAACACACCACACAGGTGACACTTCCTATTGGTGGTGGGTGGCAGCAGCAATAATACACAGAAAGGAGGCATAGAGAGGAAGTGTGTGAGATATGTTGTGTCGGGTATCCAGACACCCCAGTCAACAAAATTGTTGAAAATGTAATGTGATTAAATGTAATCCCCAAACCTAGAATTGCTCAGAATCAACTTCTCCGACCTTTGCTCCACTCACAACCTCTAACGAACGATAAAGCAAAAAAATACAACATCCTCAGATGTGCCTCAATACAGTATACTGATACATGACGTTTGTAATCTTCATCACATAGCACATCCTCTATCATTTCCTCTTGTAGGTTCCATAATAGATCTGGGCATGGCGATGTAGGATGTCATCTGTCTGTGTTCCAACACAGACCATCGTAGGCCATTCCTGGATACCTGCAATAGAATGCAGGGATACAGGGGAGCTACACTGGGGCGTCTGGAAAACAATCGTTTTGTAGCTGCTACACGTTGTCAAGTGTTCTCAGGTGTGAGCCGCATGTCAAATTCTTAAAAATTGAACTATTGACAATTTCTTGACAAAGTAATACCATGCCTACTGGATTTATACAGTATTCCCTGGATTGTTTACCTTGAGCTACGTACTGTAGTAACAGCCAGTGTTGCCTACTCCTCAGTAAGGAAAGTAGCTATTGGCTGTCCTAAAAGTCGCTAGAAGTCACTAAATGATGTAATCACCTAATTTGCATAATTTGCCATGTGTATGTAATTGTGATGGACGCTGTAGGAGAGAGGAATAACGTTGTGGGAGAGACAAAAATTGAGTAAAAAACACCCTAAATATGTTTAGAACTACAAATGAACTTTCTTCTGTCGATTCTTGGTTTTTGTGTGTGTCACAATTCCAACCCTCCTCCTTTATCCGGGATTGGGACCAGCAAAAGTGACCCAAAAGAGACACTCTGGCGGAGTTACTTTGTGGTTTTTTTGTTTCGTTTTCTTAAGTTTGGTTTGGTTTTTAACCTTATGGTCCACTTAGGAGCCTACAACAAGTCACAGTAAAACATGAACATTTTTAACCATAACATTTGTTTTTTAAAAATGGTATACAATCTAAATGGACCAAAAAGAGACAATAGAAAAAACTGTCAATGGCAATGTGAGAAAATGATGGTAACTAGTCTGGCCCTAATTCAGGTTAATTGTTGTTTTTTTCCAGACCCCCCTCCACACACACACAGGCTGTGCTGGCTCACAGAAAGAGTGGGTCATCGTCATTTTGGTCAAGGCTCTCTATGGCAGGTTCAGCAACTAAGGGAGCTGATTTACATGAGTAAGCAGCTGATGTGCCAAAAAGCTGCAAAACATTATCAGGCAGCTGGTGCTCATAGCAAACATCACCAGACAGCTTCAGTCAATATCGAATGTACAGGATGGAGTTAAGGGTCTGCAAGGACATCCGATTTCTAAGTTTGCTTTTTACCACACTCATCTGGCTGAATACTATCTCGACTTCAGCATTCGAGTGTGGCAAGGACAACACAGACACGGCAGCCATGGCAAATTCTTGAAACGGGTTGATATCAGCTGCATCCCTGAACTTCCAAATCTCACTCCAGAAGCCCAGTGTGTTTCCCGCATGCGCGATTCATTTGCAGTTTGGACGCGGAGGGGTGAACCTCCCATCTGACTGCAGCTGGGAGGGACTGCTGCGCGAGTACTGGGCCGCCTGTGAGTGCTTTGTGACGGGGGTGGGGCCCACGGCAGCACCCGAGTGGTGGAGCCCATGGTAGCACCCGCTGCTCGTTGAGAAGAGTAAGAACGATACGTGCTTTCACGTCAGTCTCCAATAACACCAGAAAAAGTCGCTAGATTTGTCGCTAGGTGCTTTTTTGAAAATGTTTCGCTAGAGGGGTCTGAATACTCGCTAAATATAGCGACAAAGTCGTCTGAAAAGAAAATAATTGAGTTTTAAGGGGACGTACCCTAAGCAGGTTGACGTTCACGCGCGTATCTGCCCTCTCATTGGCTAGAATGGTCCCACCTGATCTTGCCTCCTCCCAACTGCTTTCCATGTTTGAAGACATTTATTTTTCATTGTTGGAGCGGCCACTTGAGTATCTTGTCAATATAATGGATAATCTGTGAGTAAACAAACGATTGCCTTCTCTCTGTTTCCCGCATTACCGCTGTCTGATTGGAGCGTCATTATTCCGTGGGAAATTGCAATTGGCCCATAAATGCATGTAGGCTATGTGCAACTGTCATAAAATGTCATTTTTGTTCAATTTTCACACTGAATCATTGGTAGGCCTACTTAAAATGTGTCTTAGATTAAAAAATAAAAATAGTCATTAAGCTATATAATTGTTATATAAGGCTCTAGGCCTACCTATGAGATTACTCTCTTACTTTATCATAACCGAAAACTAAGAACCTTGCTAATACCCAATTGTTTGTTTTTATTGCCATGATAGGAGCAATAATTAGGTGACTGGGATAGCGAGATTTCCCGACAAAGCTCCTTCCATTTTCCCGAGAAGAAAAGTGATGGGAACCTGAACCAATAATATACAATTTCTATGCCGCACTTATGCAAAAAACACAAAATATGCACGTGCGAATTGCTGCAGGAAACGGACATACCATTCATACATTAGACCAGTCATCACAACAATAGTAGCTTTCCATATTTATGCCTACTCAACATAAAGTTCCCAAAAGAAAACATCAGTACTTGCATGACTTCTAGGCCTATCAATTGCATTGATGACTATCATGTGTATGGCTACACGTGACCTTTCCACGCAGTTAGGCAATCTCCACCTCACATTCACAAATCTCCTAACTTTAGCTGTGTGACACTGGCACCACAATAACCTATAAAACTGCGGCACTAAACTGCACCTAAACTATATCGAGACATTTCACATAATAATAGATATATAGCCTAAAGACAACAACATATTACATTGACAATAGTCTGATGGGTGACTATCAATTGTCAAATTGTGATTGAAGACCAGTTTAATGAGCAGCGCAGCGTTTGTAGGCAAATTGACACAGAGCAGCCTGGATCAGAGCCATACGAAATATACTTTACGAATTTCTGAGCACCTTCAAGACGTACGATACCTAATGGTCTAGTTACTTGAGTAGGAAGGCTAGTGGGGGAGGATGCATGGGTGGGCGTAATCTGCGACAGTAGCAATCCAAAGGTTGCATGTTCAAGTCGCGTCGCGGACAACAGTTACATTTATGATAACCCCTTACTCTAAACTTAACCAATTCATCTAACCTTTGTCATTAGGTCCCCTAACCGCCAACATCTGGTCTCAGATAAAGATGTGCAATACTATACCTCCTCCAAGGCATATGATAATTAAGCTGTCATCCAATTCGTATGCAATTGTACAACCAAGTAAGATGTATGATACTATACATCCTCTAATTCGTATGATATTGTACAACCACTATTTAATTCGTAAGGTACCCTAACATACCATGTAGGTTGTTTTGGAAAACGTAGCTTTTTGGTACGAAGAAGCGTTTGATCCATTCCCTGCCCCTGTGCAACATTCTTTACATAAGTCTGACACTCAATTTAGTATGAACTAAATTGAGTGTCACAGATTTACGTACAGAATAATACGAATTGCCCCGAGACCACATTGCACAGAGGCAGGGAAAGGAGCAAATGCTTCTTCTTACCAAAAAGCTACTTTTTCAAATCCTCCTACAGTCGCGAGCAATAGAGCATGGGCCATAGACCGCATGGTACCGGCTTGACTAGTCAGATTCGCGGGAAATTGATCAACCGCGGCGCTATCCATGGGCTAAATCTCCACTTTTGCTGTTATTGCTCTTCTGTTTATTTTAGGGCAGCATCGGAAATGTCACAATACGCGGGTTATCATATCATAAAGTAAAAACAACCACAGCCTTTCCATATTCCCCTGCAAGGAGGAAGAGAGAAAAGGACCTAACAGGCAGGCTGACATCGTTCAGTCAAAGGTAGCCTAAAACGAATGTAATTTTCGTAGGTTGACGTTTGGGATTAGTCTTGTCTTGGAGGCAGAACCGAGCGATTTCTGCTAGATGGGACAGCTGCAAAGTCATGATTGGCTATATTGTACAAATTTATGAAAACAAAAATGAGTTTTCTGGTTTTAATTTAAGGTTAGGCATTAGGGTTCGCAGCTAAGTTTTACAGTCTATCGCTGCGGGGTGAAAGACACAATATTTGGTTCAAGACTCCAGCACTGAAGGTCGGCGGATCAATTTCCCCTCCTTTTTTGGGGGAACTGAGTCTCGTCTCAATTTACTGTTGAGAGTTTGAATAGTAGAATACACAAGTTGCAATTTCGAAATGTGGTTGCACATCAGCAGTTTTTTCTTGGTATGTCAGTCACTCAACTACTCAATGTCCGCAGACATTTTTTTTTTGATTGGTAAATGAATCTAGCCAGCTATCTAAACTTGTAGTAATCATGGCAAAATGTGTAGAATTGCAGGAAATGTACTCTAAAACTTAAAATGTTCTCTCCGGTGACAAATGTTTTGCTCGCAAGGTGAGGCCCCCCGAGGACTGGATTGCCCATCCCTGATCTAAACCAACCCTGTCTGTTCTGCCCCCTAATTACGCACGCGTCGGTTTTGTTGCCAAAGCAACCAACCGGTCTATGGAGATGGCATCAATGGCGCTGCCCGTGCTCTCAGACGTCCTAATGGGACAGATCCAAAGAGAAGTCGTAAACCTCTAGCGAGATCGTGTCAGGAGGACCCTTGCTGAGTTTTGCTTCATTTCTTCACCTCACATAAAAGTATTCCATTAAGGGACTTTGCCCACACAGTAACGTAAACTGATTAGAAATGTTACGGACAAAGACATTTTTCATTTTAACAGCAGAGGCATGAATGTACCACCACAATCATTCCTTTCAAAATGACAAGACAAAGCTGCATTGTTAATCTAGCATTAATTTATTTTAAAACAAAACAAACATAAATGTGCTGACAACTGTGCTTGGATATTGTTTTTGTTCTATGGGAGCAGGAACATAAAGAGTGTCATTTGTTTTTTTTAGTAGCTGGCGACTCTCTTCCTATGGTAAATTTGTGTTCTTGTAAGAAAATAATGACTTTTTCTAACGAGTTACTACTCCTACAGTGAATTCTTTTAGCGGCCATGCTACATGGGCCTCAGCTAACATGCACAACATACACCAAAAAACACAAAGAAAACTCTACAGTGCAATAAAAGGCACCATGCTCAAAGAATACAGTTAAGGTTTATTGTCTAAAACAAGTTAACGTGGTTTGTATGCATCATTTTGGCATCAACATGTTGCTGCTCACATTAGTGACATGATTCAATCACCATCCAGATGTGTCAAAACTAAACATGTTTGTGCGCTGATTAAATCGAGAGTCCTACAACTAACACATTTTACTATTTGGGGGAAAGGTACGATACAGAAGTAACAAACCAAACTTGGTTTCCTACTCAAATTACTATCATTCTCTTCAAATAAAGTATTCACACACTAGTCTGTAACTAGTCTATATTTATCAGGTTAAGTATAGAGTTCCTATGAAATTGATGGCGGCCAGCAGATACATACACAAAGCCTCGTCTCGACTTTGGCGTGCCACAGGGGTGAGTTTGAGTAACTTACAGAATCTGGGGTTATTATTGCTTTAAATACTGGGCTCTCGGAGCTACGGTCTGTACCGAGAGAGTAGATAGATAGCTGTGACTGTGTTCTTATAGCGTGCACTGCACACAGATGTCCCCATTCAATATACATACATACCATATCTGTTCAACATACCATAGGTACTGTGTGGCACCTAGCAAACAAGTTGCTACGAAAATGTATTTCCCCCTTGTGTGGTTCCCAAAAGAAACATCCAGGCCCTGGCAACACCAAAAAGTTTCAAAATGAGGATTTGATGCTCTGTGCTCATTTAACTCCCCTTGTGAGCCTCTGCTATTCAATGGTGTCAGCTCTATCCTTATGAATACTGAAGACGTGCAATTCAAATGGAAAATGACAAAGTCCATATCATAATGCAGAGTTGCGTTCAGATTCAGTTCCAACATTTTTAAATAACTGCCCAACGCAGAGTTCCAGTGTTTTATCTAAACAGTTTTACACAACTAAACCATAAATACAGGGACATTTAATCTGCTACATTTGACATTGACTCAAGCTAAGCTTAATACATTTAAACTAATTTTGATGAGTTACATTTCACTATGCCCTTGCAGACCATGATCGGCAAATTAATAAACAATATCGCAATAGGGCTTAAACTATATACAAATCCATATTTCTCCACCTAAACACCAAATTAGTAAATTTCTTAAAATCAAGACTGGTACCAATAGTGTAAACTAGACTGGTCTTGAGCAGTCTCTCTAGTTAATCTTTTTCAACATTTGTGTTGTCACAGCCACCCCTTGCACTTTCATTGGCTTTCCCTTTGCTCCCATTACCTCAAACCTTCATTTTCAAACTAGCCTGCGCTGCACATAGGCATGACCGACCCCAACGCCTCAGACACCAATATTACCGGACAGGGAGTTGGGCCCTGTTCATGTACTTCTAGAATATGCATCATTCCTTCCTTGGCAAGATTGGAGAAGACCGAGTAATAAAGTACAGAAACCTTGCTTTCACAGATCAGAGATGTTAAAGATAGAAGGGATGCATTTCTAAAGTCTTAAAACAGGGCCTTATTACCCAGCCAGAGAGGCTAGTCCACAACGAGAAGGGTCAACACACACACTTGCGAAAGGACAAGCCTGGCAGCTGATGGATTATTAGGTTCATACTCCATACCAAAGACCACAAAGGAGAAATGGAGATAGGATAGAGGGACTATTGATGTACTAACTAGCTAAAGCTTTGCGGCTTTACATAAGGCAAAAAATGGAGACAGATCTTTTCCTCGAAGTATGACTAAAAATAACCTATTCCAGTGTGCAAAGCTAGCTATAGGACACACACATCTAAGCCAATACCTCCCATCTAACGTGCTAGCTTCAGGAGGACCAGTTAGCTTGTTTAATGAACCAAATGAGATGTTCATGGGATATTTACCATTCATAACCAACAGTCCTCCTGTGACTATGCTAACAACCGAACCATGTGGAGGCAACCATGTAAAACTATGTAAAGGTATTCTACAGTACGGTCTTTGCGAGTAAGAACAAGTAAAATAGACAGATGAGTTTACCAACCCACCCCACTCTAAGGAAGATACAGTGGGAGACCATAGATAAGTTAATGGAAAATTAAAGAGAGGCTTGCTATGCTGATCTTATGCAACTCGTAGGACAGGTTTGAGGACGTTTATGTGCTCTGATGCGTAACATTAAATGTAGATGTTGGGTAAACACACCAATCGGATCCCCCACCCCCGTACCAAAATAATTCACGACAAAGTCAAAGTATACATTGCAAGAGCATTGTATGCTATTTAAGGCTTGCAAGTACATTTAGTAATATACAACTCATGTTTTAGCAACACTAAAATTGGTTATTACATTTGAATCAATTTGTAAAAAGGGTGCTAGCACGGCAAAGACCTACTCGGCTGTACTGTAACCTTTGCAGGACTACAGTTTTAGTACCTAAACTATACTACATACTCTCGTGCATGAAGAGGAAGTGCTGGATTTTGCAGGGTATCGTAATGCTTCATGACTCTCGAGAAGAGATTTTTTGTTGTTCTTTTTTATATTGTGCAGCAATTCATATTTGTTCATATCAGCTCTCTGCTTTAGTTAAACATTTTGACAAATTCTAATTCCATTTCGGCAGACGTAAAACACTAATAAAATGTTTTACATGTAGCTACGTAGCTGTTCCAAATGGCTATGGAAATCATACAATTATGTTTTAACACCAGGAATTCTGAGCCACAGTTGCCAATTCAGTCAGAAAAAAGGTAGCGCGACGAGTCTGCCGATTGTCAGACATCAAAGCGAGTGGCCCATGTTCAAGGTAACACAAAGGGCAAGCTTTATGTAGCGGTTGCACCAGAATGCCCTTTCATTCATACATACAACACAGAAAAATAACAACACAGGTTAATGTCTTTAGAGGTCTACATAACCATGGGCTGCCTGCTCACTGTAGACACGCCCATGGACTAAACTTGAGATGAGTAACACTTGTATATAGTGAGTTGTTTGACTGGCATGCTTTTTTTTTTAGTCTTCTTCATTATGTCTGTTTCTAACATGTGGTTTCAGTTTCTAACATGGATAGGGGCCTAGCAATGAGCAAATTTTCTACATGCATTCTGGTGCAAATGAGTAAAAATGCCCTCTGACTTTATTTTATTTTTTTACACCAAAGGCATTGTTTTTTGTGTTTGTAAAGATGACATTCATTTACTGGACTGAGAGATAAACAAGATGATTAGTCCAACGAAGATGAATACGTATTCCTACAGTTAATGAATACGTATTATTATAGTTAAAAGACCAATCCAATTAAAAACTGACTTTCACTGAAGGACGATTATAGAGTCAGATGAGGGACAGTTTTGTTTTGTTTTGTTTTTTCCTTTCAATCTAGCTGCACAGTTCTACAGGTGGAAGGGTCTCAACTGGAGGAGGAAGACTGACTTCAAGTCTCTTCTGGCTAATAGTGGTTTCACGAAAGGCACTTCCTGGTAAAGCTTTCCATAGAGTAGCACCTCTGATTGGTTAGAACTAGCCAGTAAAAGCCCTTGTGGAGGGGAGACAGGGTGGGTGGAGCTGGGTGGGAAGGTCGTAGGTCACAGGAGGGTGAAGCCCAGGATGTAATGCAGAAGCTTGTTCCGATTCGCCTGAGGTAGGAAGGTGCTGCTCAGCTCAACCAATGACACACGGTTCTCCCGCCTCTCCTTCAGGACCTGCAGCCATTTAAATTAGAGAACACATAATAAAAATACAAATAAAGTTAGAAAAGCTTTTTGGAATTTAGATTAGAATATCAGCAGAGTTTGTTCTGCAATGAGCCACCACTGAGTTTTGTGCATATATATTTTCAGAAGTTGACTAACAGAAGACAGTCTTCAGAACTACCAAAACAGAGAGGGAGGATGGACGCTACATTCTACAATTTAGCGAATGGTCTCTCACCCCAAGTTCCTTAAACGTTCTCACTGTGTTCTTCACGAGGTAGTGTGTCGCACTTTCACCTGAGAGAAGAGAACAGAAGACCATAAACGATAGAAGACGAGAGAGGATCTTATTTCCAGTTGTTTGTCCTGACAAAGATCAACCTCAGGGGCTGTATGAAGTAGTCTTAGAGTAGTGCCGATTTAGGATCAGTTTAGCCTTTTAGATGACAAAGAACAAGATTATATGGACGTGGGGAGCTGATCCTAGATCAGCACTCCTACTCTGAGAAGCTTCATACTTATGGCCCCAGTTCAGAACATTAGTATTAAAACGTGATATTAGGCGGCATTACAGTGTACGATTTGCAGAGCTCTTTGAGGTCTTTATCTGGTAAAAGCCGCAGTACAGAAAAGAAACGTCTAACAACGATATGTACCGTAGGCAGCCACTCCCTTCTCGGTGCGCGTGAGCAGGTATCGGAAGAGCTGCTGCGTGTACTCTGGCTCGGCCATGGGCTGGCTCAGGCTGTGGACAAAGATGGCCGCCCCGCTGTAGGCCTCCAGTACGGGGCTGAGGAGACGCTGCAGGAAGACAAAGAACTCCTGGTGCTCGGGGGATAGGCTCACCTGTGGATACACACATGCACACGGGCAACGGTCAGAGGTCTTTTTAAAAGTTTGACACAGTTTAGGATTGTTGTGGACAAAACGGCAGCACAAACACTGGACCTGGTACATAAAGGTGTAGGCAATATCAGCGTGTGTAAGGGTGTATGAGTCAAGGTATAACAAGGGCTGCATCCGAAGGGCAGCACCCTATTCGATACAGATAAAAAAGTAATATCACAATAAATTGACATTTCTCAACAATACAATATTTGTCTTAAATGCAGTTACTTTCTATTAGCGGCAGGGCTCTAGACTAACTTTTTCTAGTGCCATTAAGTAGTAAGACAAGAAAGAAGTTGGCTATTTCATCTAACATGATCAGGGAATGCATGATTGATGTGCAACGTGTCAAAATAGGATCAGATTTATTTTTGGCTCTTTAGAGATTAATTTGCCTGCATCTTTTTTGTACATATTGGCCTAGGCTATTTACCACCTGAAGAAGTGGGAACTCAAAACACATTAGCTAGATAGCCATGTAATTTAGTCAACAGTAAAATGTAATGCCCTACGATTGTAAAGTTGTGCCATTGCCTAAATATTTAGAGTTGAGAAAAAAATGTGTCATACGCACAGGACGCTGAGACAGTCCTCTAACAATAACAGTAGTTGCTTTAAAAACAGTGTTTGCTCAGTCTCGGAATGCATCTCTCCCTTTAGCCTAATCTGTGCGAACAGGGGGGGAGAGTGAGTGAGAGCCGACAGCTCAGTGGCGACGCGTCATTCAGGGCAAGTGGGGCTCAGCCGCACCACCCTCCAGCAGATACTTCTGTTTTGCATGTAATTCTGGCATTCATTCATGCCACAACATATCAGTTAGCAAACATGTTTTAGTTTTTTAATTGCTTGAGTTAATAAATCATACGTGGCCGCATCCCCGTTGTATTGGCGTTTTGGTACATTTTCTTTGAGTAAGTCAGTTCCCGAATGCAGCTATTTCAGCCTCTCTCAGTGCTACGTTGCGGAGGGGCTAGCCCATAAATTTTCTCTGGTTGTGCGTGATATGTTGCGCATAATTGGAGCATGCTCAAGGGCTTCAGTTGGGTGAGTGAAGGACAGTGTGCGACTGCAGCAGGTAATGGGAGGGCCAGGCAGCTTTAGCCCCCTTGGGTGCTGCCATACAGTTACATAAGTGGTGCCCCGCCCAAGAAGCCTCAAGGTCATTGGCCACAGATAAATACACATCTTATCTCCGGTAGCTTTGATTGAACTCATGTGTTTACATCATATTTGTTTATCACTTCTTATTCAGCTAGCTGAAAAGGCATCATTAATTTTATATGCCACTGTATATAAAAACTGGGTAGTTTGGGTCCTGGATGCTGATTGACACACCTACTACCATACTCTGTTCAAAGGCACTTAAATCCCATATTTTGTGCAGAAATGTGTTTACATCCCTGTTAGTGAGCATTTCTCCTTTGCCAAAATAATCCATCCACCTGACAGGTGTGGCATATCAAGAAGATGATTTAACAGCATGATCATTACACAGGTGCACCTTGTGCTGGGGACAATAAAAGGCCACTCTAAAATGTGCAGTTGTGTCACACAACACAATGCCACAGATGTCTCAAGTTGAGGGAGCTTGCAATTGGCAAGCTGACAGCAGGAATGTCCACCAGAGATATGCCAGAGAATTTTACGTTCATTTCTATACCATAAGCTGCATCCAACGTCGTTTCAGAGAATTTGGCAGTATGTCCAACCGTCCTCACAACCGCAGACCACGTGTGTCGGCGAGCGGTTTGCCAATGTCAGTGTTGTGAACAGAGTGCCCCATGGTGGTAGTGGGATTATGGTATGGGCAGGTATAAGATACGGACAACGAACACAATTTGAATGCGCAAAAATACCGTGACGAGATCCTGAGGGCCATTGTGAGGCCCATTTCAGTTATATGTGACCAACAGATGCATATCTGTATTTCCAGTCATGTAAAATCCATATATTAGGGCCTAATGATCCTGTGTAGCTCAGTTGGTAGAGCATGGCTCTTGCAGCGGCAGGGTTGTGGGTTTCCCACGGGGGACCAGTAAAAAAAATTAGTATTAAAATGTATGTACTCACTACTGTAAGTCACTCTGGATAAGAGCGTTTGCTAAATGACTAAAATGTAAAGAAATTATTTCAATAGACTAATTTCCTCAAATGAACTGTACCTCAGTAAAAATCTAAAGAAATTGTTGCTATTTCTATCTATCAAAAATATAAATGCAACACATACATACACCGCAAAAGTATGTGGACACCTGCTCGTCAAACATCTTATTCCGAAATCATTAAATATGGAGTTGGTCCGCAATTGCTGCTATAACATCCTCCACTCTTCTGGGAAGGCTTTCCACTAGATGTTGGAACATTGCTGCGGGGACTTGCTTCCATTCAACAACAACAGCATTAGTGAGGTCGGGCGTTGATGTTGGGCGATTAGGCCTGGCTCGCAGTCGGCGTTCCAATTCATCTCAAAGGTGATCGATGGGGTTGACGTCAGGGCTCTGTGCAGGCCAGTCAAGTTCTTCCACACCGATCTCGACAAACCATTTCAGTATGGACCTCACTTTGTGCACGGGGGCATTGTCATGCTGAAACAGGAAAAGGCCTTTCCCAAACTGTTGCCACAAAGTTGGAAGCACAGAATTGTCTAGAGTATCATTGTATGCTGGAGCGTTAAATTTCCCTTCACTGGAACTAAGGGGCCTAGCCCGAACCATGAAAATCAGCCCCAGAACATTATTCCTCCTCCACCAGACTTTACAGTTGGCACTATGCATTGGGGCAGGTAGCGTTCTCCTGGCATCCGCCAAACCCAGATTCATCCGTCGTACTGCCAGATGGTGAAGCGTTTCCACTGCTCCAGAGTCCAATGGCGGTGCTCTTTACACCACTCCAGCCAACGCTTGGCATTGTGCATGGTGATCTTAGGCTTGTGTGTGGCTGCTCGGCCATGGAAACCCATTCCATGAAGCTCCCGACGAACAGTTCTTGTTCTGATGTTGCTCCCAGAGGCAGTTTGGAACTCGGTAGTGAGTGTTGTAACCGAGGACAGACGATTTTTATGCACCACGTGCTTCAGCACTCTCCGGTCCCGTTCACTTCGCGGCTGAGCCATTGTTGCTCCTAGACGTTTCCACTTCACAATAACAGCAATTACAGTTGACCGGGGGAGCTCTAGCAGGGCAGAAATTTGACGAACTGACTTGTTGGAAAGGTGGCATACTATGACGGTGCCACGTTGAAAGTCACTGAGCTCTTTAGTAAGGCCATTCTACTGCCAATGTTTGTCTATGGAGATTGCATGTCTGTGCTCTTGATTTTATACACCTGTCAGCAACGGGTGTGGCTGAAATAGCCGAATCCACTAATTTGAAGGGGTGTCCAGGTTTACTGCCAAAATTTTAAAAAAGGCAACACTTGAGTAAATGAGGGATACAAAGTATATTGAAATCAGGTGCTTTCACACAGATTTGGTTCCTGAGTTAATTAAGCAATTAGCATCCCATCATGCTTAGGGGTCATGTATAAAAATGCCCAGTTGCCCATTATTTTGGATACCATGGCTAGAAGAAGAGATCTCAGTGACTTTGAAAGAGGGGTCTCAAAGGAGCATAGGGGGTTTAAAGGGTGTGTGTGTGTGTGTGTCACCAGATCTCAACCCAATTGAACACTTATGGGAGATCCTGGAGCGGTGCCTGAGACCACGTTTTCCACCACCATCAAGTACCCACGGGGGGCCAGTATATATATAAAAAAAAAAACATATATATATATATATGTAATCACTAACTGTAAGTCGCTCTGGATAAGAGCGTCTGCTAAATGACTAAAATGTAAATGTAAAATGTACACCAAATTATGGAATTTCTCTTGGAAGAATGGTGTTGCATCCCTCCAATAGAGTTCCAGACACTTGTAGAATTTATGCCAAGGCGCATTGAAGCTGTTCTGGCAGCTCGTGGTGGTCCAACGCACTATTAAGAAACTTTATGTTGGTGTATCCTTTATTTTGGCAGTTATCTGTATATCTATTGTACTACACTACATAGGAAAAAGAGTGCCATTTTGGACACCCAAGCTAACTATGACTGTGGTGATTGTTTTCCAAGGTCAGTGTGGCTGGCTTACCTTGAGGTAGCGGTCCCTCTGCTCCTCTGCAAAGTCACTGTCCTCGTCCTCCTCATCACTCCTCCACGACAGGGGCTCAGGGAACTTCTTAGGCCATGGCTCCTCGGTGGGGCTGGGGGTCAGCTCTTCCTGGTCCTCCTGGATGAATACACGGACGGACACACACAATAACACAAACAAACGCGCACACACACAAACGTGGTTCAGAACATTTGCCAGAACATTAAGTAACATTTCATTTGAGCCTGAAGACATTGTTTTGGCAGTGTGCAGCATTCCTTCTCATGTAAAATTCACCTCTGCCACATACAGAACTCCATACTGGATCAAACGGCTGACAGCATCGTGGAAGACCTGATAGATAGTCTGACAGGGCTGGGGATGGAGAGGAGACAATGGTCACTATTGACACACACACAGGTAAATAAAGAGTAAATCCCACATTGATACAGCTTTCACCCTGGATGAACATGTGATATATTGTGTACCACTTAGCAACATTTTCCCTTTCCGCTCTAGTGACTAGGGTTGGGCGGTATCCAGATTTTCATATCGTCATACCAGGATTTATGGTATTACCATTTTAGCACACAAGGGGGAGCAAAAAAACAAAAACAACCCTTAGACACATTTTACTAGCAAATGTCCATAGAGGCTGTTAACTAAATATGCTAACGAGCGCAAACGTAAATAAATCGCAAAAACAGGCAATCCAGCTCATAACGTTATACAAGAAAGTAGTCATACCCCTTGACTTATTCCACATTGTGTTACAGCCTGTTTTCAAAATTGATTTAAAAAAAAAAGAGATGTTTTTTCCTCACCCATCTACACACAAAACCCTATAATGACGAAGTGAAAACATGTTTTTAGAAATGTTTGCAAATGTATTGAAAATGAAATACAGAAATCTCATTTACATAAGTAATCACACCCGAGTCAATACTTTGTAGAAGCACCTTTGGCAGAAATTGCAGCTATGAGTCTTTCTGGGTAAGTCTTTAAGCGCTTTCCACACCTGGAATGTGCAACATTTGCCCATCATTCTTTTCAAAATTTCTTCAAGCTCTGTCAAATCGGTTGTTGATCATTCCTAGACAACCCTTTTTCCGGTCTTGCCATCGATTTTCAAGTAGATTGAAGTCAAAACTGTAACTCAGCCACTCAGGAAAATTCACTGTCTTCTTGGTAAGCAACCCCAGTGTAGATTTGGCCTGGTGTTTTAGGTTGTTGTTCTGCTGTAAGGTGAATTCATCTCCCAGTGTCTGGTGGAAAGCACACTGAACCAGGTTTTCCCTCTAGGATTGTGCCTGTGCTTAGCTCCATTCCATTTCTTTTTTTGTCCTGAAAAACTCCCCAGTCCTTAATGATTACAAGCATACCCATAACATGATGCAGCCACCACTACGCTTGAAAATATGGAGAGTGTTACTCAATGTGTTGTATTGGATTTACCCAAACATAACTTTGTATTCAGGATCAAAAGTGATTTGCTTTGCCACATTTTTTGCAGTATAACTTTAGTACCAAAATGTGGAAAAAGTAATAGGGGTGTGAATACTTTCTGTAGGCACTGTAGGTAGTAGTAGCATTGGGCGGTATACTATATACCAGTATTGATGCATGGACCAGTTTGGGTTTTTACTTTACCTTCTATAACGGTATTTCAATGTTTGGTTTGTTAAATGTGGGATGCTACTCTGTTGTGTGTAGCATCCATTTTGATAGTTTTCTCCGCTACTTGAGTCATCCCTCTCCTCTCCCGCCCTCTCTCCATTCCACACAGACCAAGCCCCACCCCGTCACTCAAGGAGTGCAGTTGTTGCTCGACTACGAGACCACTTGCGTTCAGTCTGCATGGTCAATGCAGCACATGCATCAAGATGTTGATGACACTGCGTCTTAATATAAATCCACAAGCATTCTATAATGACACCATTAGTTTGTATCTTACGGTCCGCAAACAGCAAGTTCTTAGCAAGTTGTGGCTAAAACAAATTGTTTTAGCCGCTAATGCTAATTGCTAGTTTGCTGGCTAGCTAGTAAATGTACAGAGTCTGAGTAAACATAGCTAGCTAATACAGCCTGATACCAGAGATGGTGTAGGCCTAAATCAGCATGTTGTTTGTGCAACACTATCTTCTAAATCAAAGAGGAAAAGGCGACGCATGAATATGTTAGCTACATTAAGTAGCTAAGAGAAAAACACATAATTTAGCCAAAGATTATAGGGTTCCCAAGGAAACAATGACCAACACTTTGGTCCCTACCCTATCGCAATAACGCCTCCCTGGCTTTTTCATTTGTTGTCATGTCAAACACTATTCTAAGTGCCCACTATTATATTCTAACTATAGAATTAGAATAGTCATTCTATTTCCATGATTCCAACAGCTCACCCAAGTGCAATAATTTGTTAGAAATAAGGCCAAGATGTTTTGGAGCCCTATGTGGCAGTGTGGAAATGATCTCAAATGAGTGCTGGAAATGCAGAAATTTATGAAAATGCAGAAAATTATTTTTGGTTGAAGTTTGATTGAACAGTATAAAACAAATCAGAAAGGAGAAAGCCCCATTGAAATCACATCGAATGTATGCGTTGCCTCCCTAGGGTCATGCACAACTCAAAGCAAATGTATAACATGTATTATTCAAAACATAAAATACCATCATAAATTTGACTAATATCGTGATATTAAATTTTGGCCACATCGCCCAGCCCTAGGTCAAATCATATTACATTTTTACATTTTAGTCATTTAGCAGACGCTCTTATCCAGAGCGACTTACAGTTAGTGAGTGCATACATTTTTTCATACTGGCCCCCCGTGGGAAACGAACCCACAACCCTGGCGTTGCAAGCGCCATGCTCTACCAACTGAGCTACACGGGTATTTGTCACATGCTTCATAAACAACAAGTGTAGACTAACGGTGAAATGCTTACGGGCCCTTCCCAACAATGCAGAGAGAAAAGAGAAATAATTGAAAAATAATAACACAAGGAATAAATACACAATGAGTAATGATAACTCGGCTATATACAGTACACAGGGTAACGAGTCGATGTGCAGGGGTACGAGGTAATTGAGGTAGATACAGTTGAAGTCGGAAGTTTACATACACTTAGGTTGGAGTCATTAAAACTTGTTTTTCAACCACTCCACACATTTCTTGTTAACAAACTATAGTTTTGGCAAGTCGGTTAGGACATCTACTTTGTGCATGATACAAGTAATTTTTCCAACAATTCATTACAGACAATTTCACTTATAATTCACTGTATCACAATTCCAGTGGGTCAGAAGTTTACATACACTAAGTTGACTGTGCCTTTAAACAGCTTGGAAAATTCCAGAAAATGATGTCATGACTTTAGAAGCTTTTGATAGGCTAATTGACATCATTTGAGTCAATTGGAGGTGTACCTGTGGATGTATTTCAAGGCCTACCTTCAAACTCAGTGCCTCTTTGCTTGACATCATGGGAAAATCTAAAGAAATCAGCCAAGACCTCAGAAAAAAATTGTAGACCTCCACAAGTCTGGTTCATCCTTGAGAGCAATTTCCAAATGCCTGAATGTACCACGTTCATCTGTACAAACAATAGTACGCAAGTATAAACACTATGGGACCACGCAGCCATCATACCGCTCAGGAAGGAGACGCGTTCTGTCTTCTAGAGATGAACGTACTTTGGTGCGAAAAGTGCAAATCAATCCCAGAACAACAGCAAAGGACCTTGTGAAGATGCTGGAGGAAACAGGTACAAAAGTATCTATATCCAAAGTAAAACGAGTCCTATATCAACATCACCTGAAAGGCCGCTCAGCAAGGAAGAAGCCACTGCTCCAAAACCGCCATAAAAAAGCCAGACTACGGTTTGCAACTGCACAAGGGGACAAAGATCGTACTTTTTGGAGAAATGTCCTCTGGTCTGATGAAACAAAAATAGAACTGTTTGGCCATAATGACCATCGTTATGGAGGAAAAAGGGGGTTGGCTTGCATGCCGAAGAACACCATCCCAACCGTGAAGCACGGGGGTGGAAGCATCATGCTGTGGGGGTGCTTTGCTGCAGGAGGAAAATTATGTGGATATATTGAAGCAACATCTCAAGACATCAGTCAGGAAATTAAAAGCTTGGTCGCAAATGGTCTTCCAAATGGACAATGACCCCAAGCATACTTCCAAAGTTGTGGCAAAATTGCTTAAGGACAACAAAGTCAAGGTATTGGAGTGGCCATCACAAAGCCCTGACCTCAATCCTATAGAACATTTGGGGGCAGAACTGAAAAAGTGTGTGCGAGCAAGGAGGCCTACAAACCTGACTCAGTTACACCAGCTCTGTCAGGAGGAATGGGCCAAAATTCACCCAACTTATTGTGGGAAGCTTGTGGAAGGCTACCTGAAATGTTTGACCCAAGTTAAACAATTTAAAGGCAATGCTACCAAATACTAATTGAGTGTATGTAAACTTCTGACCCACTGGGAATGTGATGAAAGAAATAAAAGCTGAAATAAACAATTCTCTCTACAATTATTCTGACATTTCTAACTGACCTAAGACAGGGAATTGTTACTATGATTAAATGTCAGGAATTGTGAAAAACTGAGTTGAAATGTATTTGGCTAAGGTGTATGTAAACTTCCGACTTCAACTGTATGTACATATAGGTATCGATAAAGTGACAGATAATAAAACGGTAACAGCAGTGTAGGTGATGAGTCAAAAAAGTTAGTGCAAAAAGGGTCAATGCAGATCGTTAAATAGTTAACCAATAGCTACTCGGACTAACTATTTAGCAGTTTTTTTGTCTTGGGCGTAGATGCTGTTCAGGGTCCTGTTGGTTCCAGACTTGGTGCATTGGTACCACCCTGCCGTGCAGTAGCAGAGAGAACAGTCTATGACTTGTGTGGCTGGAGTCTGACAATTATTTTATCCTTCCTCTGACACCGCCTGGTATAGAGGTCCTGGAAGGCACGGAGCTCGGCCCCAGTGATGTACTGGGCCGTATGCACTACCCTCTGTAGCGCCTTGCGGTCGGATGCCAAGCAGTTGCCATACCAAGTGGTGATGCAGTCAGTCAAGACGCTCTCAATGGTGCAGCTGTAGAACTTTGAGGATCTGAGGGCCCATGCAGAATCTTTTCAGCCTCCTGAGGTGGAGCCTTTCAAAGCATTTCATGGCTACAGATGTGAGTGCTAACCGAGCAATAGTCATTTAGAAAGGTTACCATGGCGTTCTAGGGCACAGGGACACTTTTGGTGAGTTTGGACATTTACAAGCGACTGTGAAAGAGAGACATTGTGCAAATGAACAAAGTTGACATATGCTTGTCTGAAGGAAGAACAGCACTGGCTCTGGAGCAGCATGTGTACACGCTGTCTGTTTGGAGACTGGAGTCGCTAGGGCAATGGGCCTACCTGCTCTGCTCGGAGAAGAAGGGCCGAGAAAGGAGATGAGAAAAAACTCAAGGAAATCAAGATGGCAGTGGCAGCTGTACAGATAACTCATCCAAAGGGCTTGGACTTCTCAAACACAGCAGAAAGCTAACACTATATGACGTCCCATCCCCTTATTAATTCAGCCACTTAGCTTACAAGCAAGTTCAACCAAATACCAGCTCCTGCTTTCTCCCATTGTGCTATTTACAAACAAACATGACTGGCTCAACTGTTCTGGGGAACTACGTTAAACTTCATAATGTAAACTAATGTGACAGGTGAAATGAAGACTGCAATCTGCTAAGGTATTGCACAAGTTGACTACAGGTATTAACTTAAAAAGTTGCTACAAATACTCAAATTCAAAAGAAATAGTTTTGAAAAACTATCCTGCGGCCATTTCCAAATACCCTGGTATACCACTCAAGCCTACTCCTGACTCAAGGAAACAGTGCTTTATCTTCCCCGCTAGGTGGTGCAGTTGTATCATAGTTCTATCAAGGGTAGAAAACAGACTGGCTTGGCAGAACAAAATACTGCACAAGCAGTCTCATCTCTTCCATTTAGCACTTAAAGGAAAACTCTGTATTTGTTTCGTTAGTCCATTGTTGATATAGTCCCAAAATGTTATGCATGTCAGCAATCAAGTTAAGATAAACAACTTTAAAAATACAAAATGCAGCCGGTATGATGCAAGTTATATATCTTGAAAACTTGATTGCTGAAATGCAAAACATTTTGGGACTATATCAACAATGGGACCAAAATAGTTTTGGGGTTGAATATTCCTATGTACACATTTTGAACAAGATGGCGAGATAGAATAACTAAAACAGAGTGGCTGTTCAATACGTTTTCGTGTGTGTAAAGTAACACATGCGCAGAACGTTAAAACGGTTGTTAAGTGCACGGGACAGGTGTACTGGGGGGGGGGGAGATGTGGAAGAAGTGACTGACCGGTGCAACCGACACTTCGTTGGTGAGGAAGTGGGAGAGGCCGGCAGCCTTGCGGATCAGTCTCTCCTGACTGAGGAGGGTGCTGGGCCCGCCCTGCTCCCCCTCCACCTCAGACGCCGCCTGTTCCCGTAGCAATGCCAGAGCACTGCATGCTGAGAGGGCAAAAAAAAAGAAGGGGGGACACAGAACGCATGGTGAGATGACAAAATGAAACGGGTGTTTTGAGACATCGATGAAAATAAATGTACATTAGTGGATGATAGGCAATTCAATACATTAAACTGAACAGAACCCAAAAGGGACTGGCCGCAACACACAATTGGGAAACACAAATTAATTTGTATACTTTATTTCACTCAATACTTTTCCCTATGTCAAAACACAGTGGCGGAGTACAACGTGCGGTGTCAGTACCTATGATGGCGTCCGAGATAAAGACATGGAAGAGGCCGTTGCTGTAGAAGTTGAGCTCGAACAGCGCCGGCACCGTTTTGCTAGGGGCGATGGTGAACTCTGTGTTGCGGTTGGTGCTGGTCACGTTGACACAGTTGTCCAGGAGGTGGAGAGCGTGCATGACCACGTCCTCAGAGTTGCCGGAGAAGCCCAGGTCAAAGTCCCGCGACAGGATCTCCTCCTTCATGTTGAAGAAGTCCTCCACCAGCTTGGACAGCGCAACCCCCTTGTGGAGCAGAGGGGAGACACACAGATGTGGTGAAAAATAATGTTAAAAATAATAAGTAATGTTCATTCATAAATTATTCCAAATGTTCATTCTATACTTCCACAATGTTCATTCAACCTGAGGATAATTAAGCACTAAAACCAAGTATACTTTATGAGTAGCAATGTGTAATTTTATTGACAACTTAAAAAGGTAGAATCCACATTATGACATTATCATACCCAGCTAGGAGTAATTCCTTTTTACATAAATCAACAAAGAAAAAATTATAATCTGCAATGATTGGCTTTTCTCGATGTGGGTTATGACTCAAGTGAGGGCCTCAAATTGGGAAGAGCCAATAACAGCAGTCCAGGCAGATTGAAATGATTGTTGTTGACGTCTGTTAGCAGGGAGTCACCCCGTCACGTATGAATTTGTCATATTGCAGTCTACCTTTAATGGGTTGTGAAACATGAAGTGAAGCACATCAAACCATGAATGGGGATCAATTACTTCAATGCAAGGTCTTGAATCAAAGTGATCGTTGGATCTTACTCTTGAGAAAAGTAGGGCTGCTTACCTGTCTGTGTCTGTAAAGGAGCAGACAGGCTACAATGTGGGTGGACATGACCGCTGAGGACTTGTTAGCCGCTGTGGGAGGGAAACAGAGACGACACCACGTTATCTGACCAGGGTCACAGTCAGGACGCCCAGATGAATGACCGAGAGAAAGAAAGGACAGTAAACAGTGAGCGACTGTCTCTAAATAACGTGACAGTGTCAGCTGGCGCTAAGACAGGTCAGGGCCTGTATTCCTAAAGCGTCTCAGAGTATGAGTGTTGATCTAGGATCAGCTTGGCCTTTTAGATCATAATGAATACGATTGCATGGACATGGGGACCTGATCGTAGATCAGCACTCCTACTCTGAGACGCTTTAGGAATACGGGCCCTGGTGAAATTAGTCCTTTTGAACTCTCAACTAACTAAGTAGACGAGATGTCACTTCTTGAAGTGAGATGGAGCTCTATCAAGATGGACAAGTTGCTATATTTTGGCTAGGGTTTGTGATTTCAATATTGTTCTAATGAAAAAGGAACACACAAAAAAAAGGGAGCAAGATAAGAGGACTGGGAATAGGCTGAACATGATAAAGAAAGAGGGAGAGAGAAAGAGAGCGAGGGATAATTAGACGTGAGGGAGAGAACTAGATGCAAGAGGGAAAGAGCAAGAGAGAGAGTGTGTGTGGGTTTCCAAAAGGCATAATTTAAATAATACAATCCAACCGCAGAGAGGGTGTCTTTAGTGCCTAATCTTGGGTTTAATGTCAGCCTGGGTGTAAAACATTTACAACTGCAGCCACTGATACTGCAATTCCACCCCTGACCAGATCCTCCATCCTCCCCTCGCTGGGATTGGCTGAGAACAACATGCCATATTGCTCCGTAGCAGCTGATTGGCTGACATGAATAGGACTAGCTGAGGAGAATGCCCCTGAATGAAGCTAGGGAGAACGGTTTGTTTTCAGACCACAGCACAAAGCAGATTGTTGTCGGTGGATCATGAAAAATGAAGCTCTAAGGTCATATCCTTCAGTATAGGTTCTAAGTATAAGGATTTGCTTTAGAAAAAGGGGGTGCTCTTGGAGAGAGGAGTGATAAGGAAAGTCAAAGTGCAGTAAGCAGATAATAATAAGAGATCAAATGTGAGAGGGACTAGCTAAGTGGATATCATATGAAAAACATAGGAAATATACATTTTACAGGTCCATAAGAAAATGGGTTATATTAATAAAGAAACTCATTGGATGAAGAAAATAAATGGCCTGACTCAAGACAAAGTCGTGGGCTGAAGAGTGCTCTAGTCTAAACCAATGATCTGCATCTGAAAATGTCATGGAATGCATTTGAACCATCATTTGCTTACGCTTTTCATTGGTGGTCCCAGTCTTTGAAGGTGCACACATTACGGCAGAGAGTAGCTTCAATAAATGACTACTCTTGGACTATAATAAAGTGCATACATTTTTTTGTATGTTTGTGATCCCTGCAGGAATTGAAACTGCCAACGCTCTTACCAACTGAACCACACAGGACCACTATAGGACTAAGGCCTATAAGAGGGGGTGTTACTTACTGAAGAGGACGTGCTTGGCCAGGTTGGCGATGACCTGTCTTCTCCAGGGTTCGTCCGACAGGTCCCTGGAGTTGGGCTGCTCCTCCTGCTCACCCTCAAACTGGGCCTGATCCGGCCTGAACCAACACAAAGGGGGGGTCACATGGAATCATCACAGTCACATGGAATCAGCACTTTATTGTCTGTAATGTGCATGTTAAATGTTTTTTTTATGATGTGGTTGTATGTAAGCCTTTGACATCTTTATTTCCCCCTTGGGAATAAAGTTCAATTAATTCCAATGGAATCACATAGGCCTGGTGTGTGTGTGTGTGTGTGTGTGTGTATACATACTGTGCATCGATGATGGTGGGCACCAAGGTCTGTTCCAGGGTGAGGGTGGGCGGAATATGCCGACTTCTTTGCGTGTCCAGGTACTCCTTAAGGACACACAAAAAGACGGCGACATCTTGCATGAGTAATTGGCAGTGAGCAAAATAAACATAATATTTCAAATAGATTGAAAGGTCAAGGCATTGCATCACGCGCGTCCCTTGAACCACAGTTGACTAAACTCCTTGTTAAATATTCACCTGTTTGTAACACACATCATTAACGTTTCCTATTATATCATGCTTTAGATTGAGTTTTACAGTATTCTTTGCACAGATCAGGGCTGGGTTTCCCGATAGCGATGGAATTTAGGCTAACGAGTGTTTTAACGATGCATCGTTCCTATAACGGTCGAAGTTGTAACGTGCATTTCCCAAAACACCACGAAGAGAGAACGTTCCCTAAGTGTGTCGTTGGAATTACTTCACAATACTGACGGAGCGATATCACCTGCAGTGCCTTCAGAACCTATTCATTCCCCTTTACTTATTCCACATTTTGTTGTGTTACAGCATGAATACACAATTGATTAAATCGATTTTTCCCCCCTCATCCATCTACACACAATACCCCATAATGACAGAGTGAAAACCTGTTTTTAGAATTGTCTGCACATTTATTGAAAATGAAATACAAAAGTCTAATTTACATAAGTATTCACACCCCTTTGCTATGACACTTCAAATTGAGCTCAGCTGCATCCAATTTTCTTTGATCATCCTTGCGATGTCACTACAACTTGATTGGAGTCCACCTGTGGCCAATTCAATTGTTTGGACATGATTTTGAAAGAAACACCAGTTTATGTAAGGTCCCAGAGTTTACAGTGCATGTCAGAGCAGAAACTATACCATGAAGTCCAAGGAACTGTCCGTAGATCTCAGAGATAGAATTGTGATGAGGCATATATCTGGGGAAGGGTATAAAACAATTGCATTGAAAGTTTCCAAGAGCACAGTGGTCTCCATCATTGGGAAATTGAAAAAATATGGAACCACCCAGACTCTGCCTAGAGCTGGCCGTCCGACCAAACGGAGCAAGAAGGACCTTGGTCAGGGAGATGACCAAGAACCCAATGACCACACTGACAGAACTACAGAGTTCCTTGGCTGAGATGGGAGAACCTGCCAGAAGGATAGTCTACAGCACTTCACCAATCTGGGCTTTATGGGAGAGTGGCCAGACAGAAGCCACTCCTGAGAAAAAGGCATGACGGCATGCCTGGAGTTTGCAAAAAGGCTGTGGTCTGATGAGACAACTCTTTGGCCTGAATGCAAAGCGCCATGTCTGGAGAAAACCAGGCACAGCTCATCACCCTTCAAAACCATCCCTAACGTGAAGCATGGTGGTGGCAGCATCATGCCTTGAGGATGCTTTTCAGCAGCAGGGACTGGGAGACTGGTAAGGATAGGAGGGAACAATGAACAGGCAAATCCTTGATGAGAACCTACTTCAGAGTAGTGCAAATGACCTTAGACTGGGGCAAAGATTTACATTCCAACAGGACAATGACCCCAAGCATACAGCCAGAACAAGAATGGGAAAGTCCTTGAGTGGCACAGCCAAAGCCCAGACTTGAATCCCATTGAGAATCTGTGGAAAGACAAAGATTGCTGTTCATCGCCGCTCCCAATTTAACTTAACAGGGCTTGAGAAAATCTGCAAGGAAGAATGGGAGAAATCCCCAAATCCAGATGTGCAAAGCTGATAGACATACCCAAGATGATTCAAAGCTGCAATCTCCGCCAAAGGTGCTTCTACAAAGTATTGACTCAGGGGTATGAATACTTATGTAAATTAGTTATTTTTGCATTTCATTTTCAGTAAGTTTGTAAAAAGAAATGTCAAAACATTTTCTCACTTTGTCATTATGGGGTATTGTGTAAATGGGTGAGGGAAAAACAATCTATTGAGGCGGCTTAGTCTAATGCTCACCCTAGGCTATATTAATGCACTAATCACAGATGTGGTACATCATTGCACATATCATAAATGTATTGAGGGAGAAATTAGACCGTAGCATACAATTAGCAAAATACACTGTTACAGTACCATTCTGTATCAAGAATGGGTGGTGGACCATTCTTGATACACACAGGAAACTGTTGAGCGTGAGAAACCCGGCAGCGTTGCAGTTCTTGACACATTCAAACCGGTGCGTCTGGCACCTACTACCATACCCAGTTCAAAGGCACTTAAATATTTTGTTTGGCCCATACACCCTCAATGGCACACAAACAATCCCTGTCTCAGTCCATCCAGGTTTTCACAAGTGACATCAATAAGGGATAATAGCTTCCACCTGGTCAGTCTGTCATGGAAATCGCAGTTGTTCCTAATGTTTTGTACACTGTGTAGAACTCGATTGAACATGGAAATGTATTTCAATATGATTAAAATATATAGGTCTATGTAGCCTATACTGTATTTCTCTTAATGCAGTCATCTGCATTTGAAGCATCTTTTAACCCTTCCTTCGTTTAACAATTGAAAAGACATTGGGAACTTTATTTGTAGTCAATTTCCTTCTGAAGTTATCAGCGTTCCGAGAGACAGATAAACATCTTGATTCTAGGGCGGCAGGTAGGTAAGTGGTTAAGAGCGTTGTGCCAGTAACCGAAAGGTCGCTGGTTCTAATCCCCGAGCCGACTACGTGAAAAATCTGTCGATGTGCCCTTGAGCAAGGCACTTAACCCTAATTGCTCACGTAAGTCGCTCTGGATAAGAGCGTCTGCTAAATGACTAAAATGTAATTCCATGTTTAGCGGAGCCTTCTGTGTAAAGTGACACGGAAAGGAAAAAAAGCATCTGACGACGCACTTAGCTGTTCTAAATAAGTCGCAATGGTTTTGAGAAACAGCTTGGAGATTTATCAATGCTCCTATGAAAGTTCTAACGATGAATTTAGCCTTAAGATGCTTTTGGAAACCGGGCCCAGTACTCGTGTGACACATTTCACCCACAGTGTTTCCACAAGTCTGACCCACTTATACAATAACTATATTTAAGATGAATTTCATCTCCTTTCTGTTTGTGAGCGGGTAAGACTGGGACGTGTTCATTAGGCACCACACGAAATACAACGGACTGAAACAGGTAGGGACTATCTGGACTTGTCCAGTAACAAACGCTAATTATCGTTTTCTATATCGTGACCTTAACACGACTCTGGTGTACTTTACAATGTGAGTTAGTTGACATTTGGTAGGTAAAAAAAAAAAGAGGGAGTTGGCTAGTTGACATTTTCAAAGGGTTCAGTTAAGATAGGCGCTTCACAGAGGGGGCTTGTGTTAAGGTCTCGCTCCCTGTCCTCACTTTTAGAGAGAATGGCTGGGTGAAGTCCACTCTCACACAGCCGTAGTTCTTCCGCAGCATCCGTAACACTCCGCAAGCGACGCCCCACAGACTCTCATTCTTCTTGGGCTTCCCCTGAGAGGGTTGTAGACATAGACATATCATTCACACAAAGCTCTATGGTATATACTTACAGAAAATAAATACATACACGTTTAGGGCGGTATTCAGAGATATTCCCCCAACTACAAAACGTACGCCAACACAAATCCAACACACAGAACCAATCACACACACTTACCACCACCCCCCCCCCCCCCCCCACCACCAACACACGTCCGTACCAGCTGCTCACTGTTGTAGTTGCCCTCGAGGATGCGGTCATAGGAGATGCCCACGGGCACCACCATCACTTCGGGGATGACGCCGTTGCACAGGGCGTCCACCACGATGGAGAGCATGCCGGCGCGTGCCGGGGAGGGCTTGCCGCTGCGGGAGCGCGTGCCCTCCAGGAAGACCTCCAGGAACTGCTGCTGCCTCAGCAACTCCTCCGTGTACTGGGGGGAGGGGGAAGGGATTAGCAATATGATCATTTAGCTGTTTGACATGCTTACATGGGTTAAATTCATGACATCTACTCATCTAGTACAAAATAGACCATTTCTACTCCCAGGTGTACAACACACACCAGAACGATGGGCAGCCCAGTGCAACCTAGTGCCTCTGACCAGAATACCAGCTGACATTTGTTAATTTTCTGACAATTCTACGTGTTGAATTGGTGCAAGTAGCCACCGCTCGTCGGCACCCAGCAGGTGGTCCCTATAACACACCGCGGTGAAAGCAAGAGATGCAACATCCCCCTACTGCGGTCAACCGACCACAGTTATGGTGTGTGTGAGCTTTTGGCCCCATTCTGCAATAAATGTAATGTGTTCCAACTGGTCTACAGCTTCCGGACAGTGTAAAGGCTTTAGGTGAGCGATGCTTTGGCTTTAAATAGCCCCGTGACATTTGGCAGAGCTGGGAAATAGACCCATCATGGAACGAGAGATGCGATGATGCCAGTGGCCCTCGTATTTAGTCAGTTATTTTCCTGCACAATTGCTTCCCCCCGGTTCATTAGATTAACAACCAAGCCCTCAGACTACCCTACTATAACAAAGTTTGATTCAACAGCAATGCGTAGGCGTGTCTTTTTAAAAACCTTACAATGTATTAGCCAAGTAGCCTATGGAGGTTTTTGCCCTCATGCTTTTGCATAATTCACAAGCCTCCATTCTTCATTTCAAGTGTCCATCCCCATTTTTAAAGAGAATGTCTCATCCAATTACCAAAGACAAGGTCCTCCAACGTATTAAAAATTATTCAGTCCTATATAGCCATATCAACGGGGAATTTATCTTGCCTATTGAGAATGTGACAATACAATTTACCCCCCCCGAGGGTCTATTCATAACAGTTCAACTATTCAACCTTGTTAGCAAGCAAATAAATCCAAGTTGGCTACACTTTAAATATAAAGATTAGCTGGCTACTCACTAGCACGTGGGGCTTGTGCTTGAGAGATTGTTTAGGAGACCCGTATTCATTTTCTATAATACCTGCTACAAGAAGTTGGTAATTATTAGTAGAGGTGCATGGTTCTGGTTAAATTTGTAACAAAAATGGCATTTTCATAGACTTGAAAGCCAGATCAGTGATTATTGCAAAAAAAGCAGGTTAAACTAATTTCATAAAATAATTAGTGGGCCTTATGGTTGTGGAAGGCTTTTATTTAGCCTAGGTATAATTGTACAAGCCCTGAATTTATTAGATTATTCCTGACTGTTTGAAATGCAGTGTATTGACCTTTTGTTGTGCAACAAAGCTTATTTAGAGAGAACAGTAAAAACAAATATAAAAATTAAATAAGTATAGAGATAAGTTAGATAGAAAATAGAGCTATGATTTTTAGACCATATCGCCCAGCCCTACTACATGTTGAAGCCAACTAGAACATTGTGGACTGCAAAAACGACAACCATATTAAGAAAATCTGGAAGCATTTTACTGTTGTTATTATTATTCGTTACTGTATGCCATTTAATAAACAGTATCAATCCACAATGGCCTAGGTCGAGAACATTCCGGGCCCTCCAGCCGAATTAGAGTTGATGATAACAAAGACCCTCAATAACCTACACAACTTGAAGCAAATCGCATTCAGTATTTAGGCATGGAGAACGTTTATTGGCCAGCGAATGGTGTAGCCCTTGTCACACCTACAACTCATTTATTAAATCAAACCCAGACATTTAGCGCCACCGCGCCCATGATTCCCACTGTGATAATAGCAGAAATATTTCCGAAACACCCACAACTTGACAGCTCTAAATCAACACAAGGTCAACACACAGCTAGAACTAGTTTAGCCAGCCTATCCACATTTACCAAACGGGGTGTAAAACACCAAAGCCATTAGCAGAACCCCAGAGGCCCTTTTCACTACAGACAGATGGACACACACACACATGATTTTTCCCTCATGGACAGACACACATAGAGCTGTTAGGCTAATTAGTACTGTGAAGGGGATACCATTCTCCTTTGTAGACTTACTACATATAATAGAGATCTGTACAAGACGTCCTTCTTTCCGTCTGGCGTCTCGTCGAGTTTTCGCCGAATGAAGAATCCTCCCAATTTACGTATCAATGTGCTGAAAAAACAAGCAAGCCCAGTCATTCACTGAGATAATACAGTCTAATAAGAAAACTAAACCAACCCTGCATCTGGATGGCATATTTCAAACAAATATGTAATGGCTAGGCTAGCTCCCACATTGCACAGGTGAATATAAATAGATTTTCTTCCAAGTGCAGATCTAGGTTCAGTTTCTCCTAGCTTGATAACTTCATCCATTATCAGACCTGAGATCATCAGCTTTCACCAGGTAGTGCCAGATAGTTAGGCACAGATCTAGGATCAGTTTACCCTTCCCAAATCCTACTCTTAAAATCATTAGGCGAAGGGGGGACGGACCTAGATCAGCATCTAGATGGGTCCTCTTCCAGTTGAAGGCTCACCTGAATATGGGGATGTTGAGGTTGTTGCCGGCGGCGATGTGGGGAGCCTTGATGTTGTGGCAGAAGAGGATAAAGGTGATGAGCAGGTAGTCGATGTGAGACTTGTGCACGGGCAGGAAGACAAGGGGAGCGTTGTACTGCAAAACACACACAAAAAAAAAAAAAAAAAATGAAACTTAGTTTAGGCCATGGTTAAAGGGTATGGTGTTCACCCATACAATTGATTATTTCATTCAATAGAGAATTGCATCAGAAAAACAATAGTCCAGACCCTATGTCTCTACCATATTTATAGTTGTAAAGTTAGATGATTTACTCAGAGAAATTTGCATGACTAGAGTGAATAGAATGTCATTAACACCATGGTCAAAAAGTGGTCGCTGCTCAATAGAACTCGGTCACTGCTCCGTGGGCAGAATGGCGCAAACTTCGAACGTCAACTGACAGGCTAGCTAGTAGCTGCAGGTTTGTGTGTGATAACATGGGCTTTTTCTAAAATGAAATCCACGGAATACAAAACAAAATGTAGCAGTTAAAGGGGAAGACTCAGAAATTCACAATGAAAACTGGAACTGGGGGGGGGGGGTACACACACACACATACATATACAGTGGCTTGTGAAAGCATTCACCCCCGTTGGCATTTTTCCTATTTTGTTGCCTTACAAATAAAATTGATTTTTGGGGGGTTTGTATCACTTGATTTACACAACATTCCTACCACTTTGAAGTTGGATGTGTTCCGCTGGTGTACAGCAATCTTTAAGTCATACCACAGATTCTCAATTGGATTGAGGTCTGGGCTTAAGACATTTCAATGTTTCCCCTTAAACCACTCGAGTGTTGCTTTAGCAGTATGCTTAGGGTCATTGTCCTGCTGGAAGGTGAACCTCCGTCCCAGTCTCAAATCTCTGGAAGACTGAAACAGGTTTCCCTCAAGAATTTCCCTGTATTTAGCGCCATCCATCATTCCTTCAATTCTGACCAGTTTCCCAGTCCCTGCCAATGAAAAACATGGTTGGTGTTCTCGGGGTGATGAGAGGTGTTGGGTTTGCGCCAGACATAGTTTTCCTTGATGGCCAAAAAGCTCAATTTTAGTCTAGTCTAATCTGACCAGAGTACCTTCTTCCATATGTTTTGCAGCTCCTTCAGGGTTATCTTTGGTCTCTTTGTTGCCTCTCTGATTAATGCCCTCCTTGCCTGGTCCATGAGTTTTGGTGGGCAGCCCTCTCTTGGCAGGTTTGTTGTGGTGCCATATTCTTTCCAATTTTTTTATAATGGATTTTAAAAATGGTGCTCCGTGGGATGTTCAAAGTTTCTGATATTTTTTTATAACCCAACCCTGATCTGTACTTCTCCACAACCTGGCACCATCCCTACGGTGAAGCATGGGGGTGGCAGCATCATGCTGTGGGGTGTTTTTCAGGCAGGGACTGGGAGACTAGTCAGGATCGAGGGAAAGATGAATGGAGCAAATTACAGAGAGATCCTTGACGAAAACCTGCTCCAGAGCGCTCAGGACCTCAAACTGGGGCGAAGGTTCACCTTCCAACAGGACAATGACCCTAAGCACACAGCCAAGACAATGCAGAAGTGGCTTCGGGACAAGTCATCGAACGTCCTTGAGTGGCCCAGCCAGAGCCTGGACTTGAACCTGATCGAACATCTCTGGCGAGACCTGAAAATAGCTATGCAGCGACGCTCCCCATCCAACCTCACAGAGCTTGAGAAGATATGCAGAGAAGAATGGGGAAAAACTCCCCAAATACAGGTGTACGAAGCTTGTAGCGTCATACCCAAAAAGACTTGAGGCTGTAATTGCTGCCAAAGGTGCTTCAACAAAGTACTGAGTAAAGGGTCTGAATACTGAAAAACTATTTAATCCATTTTAGAATAAGTCAAGGGGTTTGAATACTTTCCGAATGCACTGTACACACACAAATATATAAACGCAATAACAGTGTTGGTTCCATATTTCATGAGCTGAAAGAAAAGATCCCAGACATTTTCCATACGCAAAGAAAGCTTATTTCTCTAAAGAAAATTGCACAAATTTGTTTACATCCCTATTAGTGAGCATTTTAGCCTTTGTCGAGATAATCCATCCACCTGACAGGTGTGGTCCCCAGAGGACCACCCATGGCTGTGCCTCTACCCAGTCATGTGAAATTCATAGATTAGGGCCTTAATGAATTCATTTCAATTGACTGATTTCCTTATATGAACTGTAACTCAGCAAAATATTTGAAATGGTTGCATTTATATTTTTATATTTCAGTATAAAGTTAAGACTGAATTTCCATATCTACCCTACCTCAAAAAAAATCTGTTCCAGTTTTCATTGTAAATTTTGTGAGTCTTCCCCTTTAAATTGCCATAGAAACAGCCCCTGTCAACATTGATTGACCAGGGTTAGAGGAATAGAAAGGCACGGATCTGGAGATGAAAATGAAGAGGGTATCAAGACGAGTTTGATTAATCCAAAGCGCGGAAACGCCTAATGTTACCACCTCCCAATGCCGAAATATGAAAGAAATACAACCAAGACTAGGGCAATATAAACTAGGAATGGTCACAACAAACTAAAATTATTTAATCAACACTATTAAGTACAAGCATATTAAAGGTTGTAATATTGTAGAGAACAATCTATTGATTATTTGTATGCGATTCATAATGACAAAGGCTAAAGAAAATTAGGTTTAGACATTAATTTAGTAGCACCCTCTTGAATTTACCCGTATTTCACTACATTCTAGAGCAGTGAGTGAACGCCCTATAAAAGTGTACGTTCAGGAAGTTAGCTGTTCCCTAACCCTGAAAGTAATCAACAGCATTGGCCACCAGAAACTATAATCCAATCCATGGCTTGGTTTCTTTAAAACAGCCACTACAAACCTCAGCTAACTCAAGCCATCAATAGCTAACAATCAATGGAAGTGATAGGGCAATCAATAATGGTTAAAGGTGGTAAGGGTAATCTGAACAACATCTTTAGTTTAGCTGACTTGACATAAGACTGGCGTAGCTTTATCAACAACAAAAAAGACAGTTAAGGTAACATTGCGGAAGATCTGTTCCCGGGGTTGCTCTCGAGACAGAAAGGGTCCCATGATTTACCAGGACTAAGGTTTGTATGGTTTAATGAAGCAAGACATTTATTTATATTATTCCATGAACCATACAGTCAACACGTGCCAACATTTGAGGTGAACAATTAGCAACTCAAAATTCCATAGTGTACCTTTAATGACAAATTTAACTCTGATTATGCATAAAATTTTAAAAACTATCAAAAAGTTATTTTATTTACATATTCTAAACATGAGGACATTTTTCACACTGTCGCAACAGCATCATGCCAGCAGTATAAAATGTTAGCAGTGATTCTAACCTCTGTAGCAGCTTTCTTCACCATCTCCAGCTGGCCTTTGTGGATCTGGATGCTCCAGAAGAAGCCATTGAAGAGCTTGAGAAGCGCCCATCCTGTCAACCTGAAAGACAAAAATTTACAAGTATGGCTCCTTCAGTGACGTTGTCCCTGACACATTTTTGAGTTCAGCAACTTTCTTTGTAACAGGGACAAACCGACATGCTATGGTCTTCTTCCTTTGAGCACTGCTTACATTGATTAGAACTAGCATGAGGATTGATTCAAATCTGTGTTATATAACTGATTGTCAGCAATATCCATAGACAAAACCATACATTTGTTAGAAAATAACCACACATTCAGACTTGTCAAGGACATTGTGATTCCTCAACCATGACTTTCCAGGATGTCACCCATTTTCAATTATTTCAAAAAGGTTGGTGGGAACCCTGCCAGTGCCAAAGAACATTACATTGAGTGATTTGAGAGTAGAGGACTCGCTGAAAGGTGCTGTACCTGATGAAGGCGGGTGAGATGTTGGCCACCATCTCCTGCAGGAACCCTCTGGCTTTCCGCCTCACCTTGCTGACCGCTTTACGTTCCACCCCGGCCTCGGTGGCCGTAGGGTCCAACTCAGTGGCCACCTCCACAATGGCACTCTCCACCCTGGGACAGACAAGTACTGTCAGAGATGAGCATTAGTCTTCTCCTTGAAGGTCAAAAGCTAATTGAGTATAATGCCTTTCAAACCTCCGACTTTCAAGGGAGCTATGCTGAGAATATGACCGTTTCAAGACCACTATTCTCAGGACATGACTGTTTCAAGACCCCTATTCTCAGGACATGACTGTTTCAAGGGTACTGTTCATGGGAAATTACCATTACAAGTGCACTGCTAAACTCATGATCTGAGAGTTGTCTGCTTTGTTTCTTTGGCTGTGCACCAATACATTAGCTCCTTTCCTTTACTTCATGACCTCAGATATAAATACATTAGAGGTGTGAAACCAAGGGCTGGTTTGTCTTCAAAGTCTATGAAGTCAGTTCAAAAGGAGATTAAGTAATCTTAATTCAGCAGGAGACTAGTCAGGGGGGAAGGTTCACCTTCCAACAGGACAACAACCCTAAGCACACAGCCAAGACAATGCAGGAGTGGCCCTCCCCATCCCTCCCGTTCCCCTCTTTCTGTCTCTCTGTGATACCTGCTGTTGTTGAGTACATTGTCCACCACGTTGCGGGCGAACATGTCCTTCTGGACGTCCCTCTCCAGGACAAACAGCACGTAGCTGAGCCTGCGGGCCAGCCAGCCCCGGTGTCTGCAAGGCCACAGGGAATACTCTTGTCACATACTGTGCATACACACAGTAACCGCGACAGTCTGAGTGCACCCAATCACAATGATATACTATTAACATTGTTACCGTAGCCATATAGAAACAAATTAGAAATAACTATTACATTGTAACAGCTGTAGTCCACCAATGCACAGGATCAACTTGGGTGGAACTGTTTATATTATCTTGTACAGTAATATAGTTACAGTGAAATACTTTGGTCATTATTTACAAGAGAGCAATTTCTACTTAGCAATTTTACAACCCTACCACCACCAAAATCCACCTGTCATGACTCATCTTGTCAAATGTACAAGTTGGTGTTTTGTTGATATGAAAAACATCTGCATTTGTCCTGTTTTGTAAAGCACAAGGCATCTATTGTCAACTTTGGGATCACTGAGGTCAGTCACCGGATATGAGTGGACCGTGTCCGCTGACAGTCAATTATTCATCTTTTAGGTTTCCACTGTTTCACAGGGACACCATGAGCTTCATGGACTAGTGGTGAGTACATGTCGTTTGAAGTACAGTACTAGACCAGCATATCTACTATACTGTACCAGGTGTCAAACCTGCGTGCTGGAAATACGTTGAATGTCAGCACGAGTGTTTGAATACACCGCCACGTGAATAAGGTCTATTAAAGGGAGCCTTTCAATATGGTCTCTCCGACCAATGACTTAAGTGCTGTCGTGGGTTTACTGGTTTACCTGGTGTGTGTCTCATTTATGTAAATCACATTGCGCAGTCCTAGAGAAGGAATGCTCGAGTTGAAGAGTCTCTCCTGGAAGAAAACAGAGGAGCTCTGTCAGGTAAATCTATTGCAAGCTGGGACACAAAAGCTTATGAATAAGTTCATGCTCTGGGGTTCTAAAAATAGAATATCACCAACAGTGGTTTGGGTCTACCTAAAATGTTGGACGGAGCAGAAGAGTGGAGAATCATCCACAGAATCTATTCAGTGGAATACTTTTTTTGTCCTCCAGGTGGAATTAATTCAAATCTGGACCTAGGACCTGGACCTAGTCCCTTCCTGTTTCAGTCCATTTTCTTCTGTTTGGTGTAATGAACATGACCCTGGGTCATGTTCAGTAGGCACGAAACGGAAGAAAACCTGAAATGGAGAAGTCCTTTTCCGTCGCGAAAACGTCATGCCCTAATGAACACCCCCCCCCCCCCCCCCCCCCCAGCAATACTTGGGATCACCAGGCTGGGGTTTGAGTAACCCTACGGCTAGACTAGAGTAAACTAGACCACAGCTGGGCTCACCTGACTTTGTGGCGTGCAAGAGTGGCAGCAGCGGCCCACGAATGGCCTCTTTCTGTTCAGCAAGCCCTCCTTCCACGTGCTGGTCACACAGCGCAAGACAGACGGACTGGAGCTGCGGTCCTGGACACACACACACACACATTTCAGTTTTCACCATTGTTCAAAACACAAAAGATGACCATATAGGAAATAGATAGACCCTAGTTCTTTGCGCCGTGTCAGTCTTTCACACCTACACACTACAATTCTCAACCAACAGCAATTCTCAGTGTCAAGTCTTTTAGTGTTTCCCCTACCATTACTGAGCAAGATGGTCCTCCCTAACACCCACCTAAACATTTTTTAAATCCCGGCAACTAAAAAAAAGAACAAACATGGGGAACCGCATCACTACTTCATCTTTCAATCCCATCTTACTGAGTCGTCGTTAGGCTGCTTCCAGCGGCTGCCTCCCTGGTCGGCTCCATTGACCTGGAGCAGGCTGTCTGGCCCAATCGTGACGGCCATTTCCATCTCCTCCCTTTATATCACACACCAGCTAGGAATCTGCGGGACAGAGAGATTCACAATCACCGATCAACACAATGCCATCAATAGAGGTCCCCACAGCAATGACCAGGCTCCAAGCCATATGGCGCTTATATAGCTAATATATCAGGCTAAACAAATGAGGTATGGTGGTAGGAACTTGGGACTGGAGTGACAGATGATTGAATTGGGGTTGTGTCAAATACATTTAGATTTTAGAGTGTAGTTACTCTTTAATTCAATTGCGCAGCTAGCAGGAGACGGTTTCTGTACCACACGTGATCATGGCAGAGTTTGCAACACAAATCCACACTGGATTTAGGCAAATGATCATGATATCATTCTGCCAGGTAGGCATAAGTTACTTTGTAGTCAACATTGGAATAGATAAGGTTTTTGGGAAAGCCTTTACATCTACCATGATCGTCGCGCACCGCACATATACAGACAGGGGCATTCCTGTGTCATTGCCTCTTCAGAAAGTTGCAGGAAATACAAATCACTGATGCATTCTGTTCATGTCTTATGATAAACTTGGGCAAATGAATGTTCTAATAAGTTCAAAACATTTAATTGATTTCCTACATTTTTTATATTGTTGAATTCCGTTTTATTGTCCGATTTCTGTGATTCCGTCTGCATCGCAGATTTTATACGGCCCTAGGCTTGGGACTGGGAATGACAGAATTGGAGGTATGAGTGACCCCTCCAGTCCCTCTAAATAGGTCCTCACCACCACTGGCAATTGGCAAAATGAGTAGAGATCTTTTTTTCCCCCCGGCCCCGAGTTCATTCCTTCACGTCCTTCATGACCTAAGTATGTATTAGTACCAGAAGCCAATTCGCTGACCTGTGGGCGAGAGCCTTTTTCCCCTTCTGTGTCAGGTTACAGGCTACCCAGGCTCTGGCCCCCGATCAACACACACAAATGTACACCATGCATGCACACACACACCCTAAATGATGCAGACACACACAAATACATGCATGTAAAAATACACACACAAAAATACACGCAGATAAACTCATTCACAAACTAATAATGTAGCCTCTATATACACTCATACATTCACACATCACTGCAGCTGTCCAGTGAGAGGGGTGTAAGCAGAAGGGCCGGGACAATCACATTTTATTTATAAAGCCCTTTTTACATCAGCAGATGTCACAAAGTGCTATACAGAAACCCAGCCTAAAACCCCAAACAGCAAGCAATGCAGATGAAGAAGCACGGTGGCGAGGAAAAACTCCCTTGAAAAGGCCGAAACCTAGAGAGGAACCAGGCTCTGAGGGGTGGCTAGTCCCCTTCTGGCTGTGCCGGGTGGAGATTATAACAGTACATGGCCATTAAGGCCAGATTTTTCTCCAAGATGTTCAAACGTTCATAGATGACCAGCAGGGTCAAATTATAAATCACAGCAGTTGTAGAGGTTGCAACAGGTGAGTACATCAGGAGTAAATGTCACTTGGCTTTTCATAGCCGGGCATTTAGAGGTTGAAATAGCAGGTGCGGTAGAGAGAGAGAGTTGAAAACAGCAGGTCTGGTCAATACCAGTATTGCGGTACCGGTATTGTCCCAGCCCTAGTAAGCAGCAAGCGAGCTGGCTGGTTCACACCATCTCAAAGGGATATTTATGAGGCAGAAGTGTGCGACCAGACCGAACTGCCCCGTCCACCCAAGACACCTTTAAAATTAAAATCAACAAAACTGCAAAGAATTCCAGTATGCCTAGCCTAAAACTGATTCACCCCTAAAGTTTGAGTGAAAGTTGGAAAATGTATGGCATTTATGGTAGCCGTGCAGGTTGAGCCTGCTCTGTGGTTGCCCAGTTAGACAGGTGTAAAAAACAACCTTTTTTTTTTTTTTCTGCTACACTGAAGCATCACTGAAGCATAACTACAGCAGCACAGGTCTCTCGCGGAGCCGGCATGCTTATGGCCAGGTTTCGTTTAAATGAATAGTCTCATAACTAAACAACATTTTTCGGGCACGTGACTAATCTTCACGCAACCAAAGAAATACTAGTGACTTGTCTGATGGGCAAGTGCCTTTCAGACTAATGTCAATCCCTGGATAGCTTTTCACGTTTTACCGGTGAAAAAGTCAGATTTTAAATGTGAATATGAATTTATATCTTCTTGAATTATGTAGTGTTGTTTCATGAGCAAATTATAGAGCAGATGTTAACAATCTCTAACCTAACTGTGTTTTGTTTCAATCAAAGCACATATTTTGCCTAATGGCGCGAGCTGCTGAGTTCTGGCCATGAGAGAAAAATGCAAGCATTCGCACAATTCTAAAATCGCATAAGAAATTGTTTTTGATTTTGTCTTGACATTATAATGTTCCTATTCCATTATATTCAGTTCTGTTATGTATTGATCATTGTGTATCGCAGACATTTATTCCGTTTTGAGCTGATGAAAATACAATAGAACAGACCATGTCTCACACCAGACAAAGACCTCCAATCATCACCACGGGGTGAGGGAGAACAGGAAGTGAGGGGGAAGCAATAGCAACGTAAAAAAGGTGTGTGTAAAGTAGCACCTGCGCAGAAGGTTGTTTAGCTATCGGAAAGAGGGGTCCAGAGAGTCTGGTCACAAAGCCACTCCGTATTTATGGACGGGCAGAGGCAGGCTCCACCAAACCCACGTGTGTGTGTGTGTGTGTGTGCTTGCGCGCGCACGTGGAGCTGCTGCTCTGTGTTCTTGAACAACACGGACATAGGCTATCTTCATCAAGTTTTATTATAAACTAGGTGGTTCGAGCCCTGAATGCTGATTGGCTGAAAGCCGTGGTATATCAGACCTTATACCACAGGAATGACAAAACATTTTTTTTACTGTTCTATTTACATTGGTAACCAATTTATAATAGCAATAAGGCACCTCGGGTTTGTGGTATATGGCCAATATACCACGACTAAGGGCTGTATCCAGGCACTCTTAGCCTTGGAATATTGGCCACGTACCACACCCCTGCTTAAATATAGCCTAGCCATTAGTGATGAAAAAATAAAATAAATAGTTACATATTGCAATATTATTTGGGACGATGTTATAGCGACTTTGACGCCAAGTATCAATTTGTATTTGATTTTAAATAGTATCAAAAGTAAAAGTATAAATGACTTAAAATTCCTTATATTAAGCAAACCAGACAGCAAAAAAATAAATATATGGATAGCCTGGGGCACACGCCAACACAAATGTTTTATAATTTACAAACGAAGCATTTATGTTTAGTGAGTCCACCAGATCAGAGGCAGTAGGGATGACCAGGGGTGTTCTCTTGATAAGTGAGTGACAATGTCCTGCCCTGCTAAGCATTAAAAAGTACTTTTGGGTGTCCGGGAAAATATATGGAGTAAAAAGTCAATTATTTTCTTTAGGAATGAAGTAAACATTTTTAGTACAGATACCCCAAAAAACTACTTAAGTAAAAATACTTTAAAGTACTTCACACCACTGCCTGCTATGTTAGGTTAGATACACACAGACCGCATGAGAGAGGAATGGAGACAGTTCGAAAAGGTATGCCTCATCTACTCAGAAGAACTAGTAAAATGACTGCTGCAGAGCTGTCTGACATACTTAGGCAGGCTAGCCTAGCTAAATAGGATGGCTAAAGACAATCCAGTACGGCGAGCACAGAGACTACGTTAGATGATTGCCTGGCTGCTACTGCCTGGGCAGAAATTAGATTACTTTCATCCTTAAGAGACGAGTCGATTGACACAACCGTGCGTCAATCTAATGAACATAACTGAACAAAAATCCATCGAAATCGGTCTGTTTAAGCTAGAGATATCAGGGACCTCATTTATCAATCATGCGTAGGCACAAATCTGTGCGTAAACCATGCATGAGATCATTTCCACACGAAGTGTGAGCTTTATCAATATAAATGTTTGCTTGAGAGTGTGAGTAAATTTACACACAGCCATGACCATGCCTACTCACTGTCCCAGGTGGTGGAATAAGAGAACTGCTTGTCAAGCGCAGAATCTGGAAAATATGTGTTGAAAATGTGAAATTGTGAGTTTAATAATGATTTAATTGTATTTCCATTGTGTATTCATGCAACATACAGTACCGTTCAAAAGTTTGGGGTCACTTAGAAATGTCCTTGTTTTCGAAAGAAAAGCAATTTTTTTGCCCATTAAAATAACATCAAATTGATCAAAAATACAGTGTAGACATTGATAATGTTGTAAATGGCTATTGTAGCTGGAAACTTCTAATTTTTAATGGAATATCTACATAGGCGTACAGAGGCCCATTATCAGCAACCATCAGTCCTGTGTTCCAATGGCACATTGTGTTTGCTAACCCAAGTTGATCATTTAAAAAAAGGCTAATTGATCATTAGAAAACCCTTTTACAATTATGTTAGCACAGCTGAAAACTGTTGTGCTAATTAAAGAAGCAATAAAACTGGCCTTCTTGAGACTAGTTGAGTATCTGGAGCATCAGCAATTGTGGGTCCGATTACAGGCTCAAAATGGCCAGAAACAAAGGACTTTCTTCTGAAACTCGTCAGTCTATTCTTGTTTTGAGAAATGAAGGCTATTCCATGCGAGAAATTGCCAAGAAACTGATGAGCTTGTACAACGCTGTGTACAACTCCCTTCACAGAACAGCGCAAACTGGCTCTAACCAGAATAGAAAGAGGAATGGGAGGCCCCGGTGCGCAACTGAGCAAGAGGACAAATACATTAGAGTGTCTAGTTTGAGAAACAGATGCCTCACAGGTCCTCAACTGGCAGCTTCATTAAATAGTACCCGCAAAACACCAGTCTCAACGACAACAGTGAAGAGGCGACTCCGGGATGCTGACCAAGCCATATCTCAGACTGCCCATCTTAATCTTTTCTTTTTATTGGCCAGTCAGATATGTTTTGCCATTTATGAATGAGTTAATCAATGCGTTTCTATGGGCTATAGTAGTAAAGTTCAAATTCAATATTTTATCAAATAATTTGTTCATAAATATGATGCCCCCACGGTTTAGACT